GCGTGTTCTTATGAGTCCGGGCTCACAAAGATGTTACAATTACTGGGAATGCGTTCTTATGATAAGCATTAAATAATGCCAAAATAGGGCATTTTCAATACCTCACTGCTCCTTAATGAGCATGGGCACCCCACTTTTTTATTTCAAAATTGAAGTTATCATATGACAAATATTCAGTGGACAAAGTTTGAACAAAAATCTATTGTAACTTTTATTTCAGAGGAATTACCTTAAACCTTTGTCGATGAAAACAGGATGAAGGAATTGCAGGATGAAGGAGTTGGTCGGTCCCAGACCTAAGCGCGTTAACAAAATTCAAAATGGCCGAGATGTAAACAAAGGTAAAATGCATAGAATTATGATTAGTTCGGGCCCTTGTGAACTTGGTGCAACAAAATGGGAGGTTCAAGATCTCGAGGTTGATAATATAATGTTTGTCTAAGGCTAGGAAACGTCTTTTGGTTTGAGTTTTCGGGATTTTGGTAAAAAGATTACAGGTACGTGTACGAACACTCCCAAGTCTTTATTTGATTCGGATTTGATCATTGTGTTTTTTGTTATTAATATTTTATTTTACCCTCAGTCTGCATTTTACCCCTGGTCTGCAGTCTACAGTCTGCATTTTACCTCAGTCTGCATTTTACCCCCGGTCTGCAGTCTGCGTTTTACGCTGACCGTGCACAGAATGTGTCCCTTTTAACAAAGTATTACTGTACTATTAAAAGAAAGCTGGTCATGCATCATTTAGGACTTGTAAGGCCTAAATTAAGCCATTGACATTGTCCATGATAACAAAGTGTCTGATTTTCCATTGTCAACCAACAGCTGACAATTCAGATACGCAAGCATTGTGTAGACTCAACAGAAACATCGAACTTTGAATTTCTCAAGATCAGGGGTACTTACCATTTACATGGGAAAACCGGAAATTCCAGTTGGAAAATCAAATGGTTCGCCCCATACCGTTTGGGAAGCTTCAGAAAATATGGGCTGTGATTTGAGTTGATGCTATTTTTCTGCTCTTTTAAGTCTCTCTAACGGATGTGGATATACTTTATAGTGATTCCCTCTCTCGCAACGTCGAATTTAATTGTTTAATGTTTATGCCTGAAATTTCCAACCGGATGGTTTTTGTAAATGGGAAGCACCCCAGATAACTAAGAACTTCTGAATGGCTTTTCAACTGACTATATACTCTTATACACTAAAAACTCGAATTACGTATCCATTTTTGACATAAAACAGGCTTCTCCACAAAATACCTCTTTCCACCAAAAAACGAAAAGCAGTTGCATTTTGAAGCAGAGCAAATAGTAATCCCAGTCGACAAATTCATCGTGGCCCTTAGGGCATGAAATCGAGGCTCCGAAACCCCTGGGCTTGCGAATACGCGGATTACCCGGTGATAGGATCTCAATTGGTCGAATCAGGTCGAGCTAATAATCGAGACGCAGCGTCTAATTTAGATATAAATTTCCTTTGCTAGTCTCAGTTGATCAGCGAGTCTGCTTGATTTTCTGCACCTGTGACGCTCGCTTATAAACAGTGACGAAAGTTAACTTACCGCTAAAACCAAGAGGACGTAGACTCCTAGAGTCGACTGCCAGGTTAATAAACGTCTTGCCGCTGGGTCGAAAATTGTAAAAAGGATCATTACCTTGAGAGAAAAATAAATAAACGATAAGAAAATTTGAAAAAAGTGTTACTCATCGGCCGAACTTGCCCACAAGCCGAGCTGTTGGCCGAACTTTGGACGCGTACGGAGAAACATGAAGTCAAGTGCTAAAGCTGGAAGAAGAATTTATTTTGTTCGCAGCACATACAGAGAAAAAAGTACGTATGTATACACGAACAAAGAAAAATAGAAGTGGTTTCACACAAAGTGCCAGAAAATGGCTTAATATTAGACCCTTAGACCCTGGTCTCCTTCGCAGCCTCTTCTTTGGGATGTCACGCAACGCTCCCCCAAAGAAATCGTGGGAAATTTATCGGTAAACATGGTAAACCAACGTTTCTTTGGGGGGAGCGTTGCGTGACATCCCACAAAAAGGCTGCGAAGGAGACTACTTAGACCCCCTCGTTGCAATACGTATTAAAATAATACTATTAAAACTAAGACTAAGAGTACAGTTGGATGGTTTTGTAGTCACTTCACGGAAATATTCACTGGAAAGAAATTCCTTCTTCCCACTAAAACGTGCCGAACATTGAAACACAACCTGAACAAAAAGTGAGAAATATTCGAGTTTCTGAACCTTTTCGTGTGCTTCTCCAAATCGCTTGGCTCTACAGAAAAGCTCGAGGCGACAGCCGAGAGCAACTCTGACAACTCTAGCTTCTTGAGTGCTCTCCAAACTTCCCAAGTGCATCCATAACTCGATATGTGCACAGCTAAAAGCATGAACCAATTCTTTTTCTTTGCTGAGTTTGCTTTCTATTATCATGCAAATTGGCATAACTAGAATACCAGCACGTCAAGTACGAGACATGGAACAGCAAACAAACATTTGCTGGGTAAGCATTTTATCGAGCATGTTATTTAACATCGCGAAAATGCCTCCCTGTTGAAAAAGCCTTCGTTTTGTCTCTAACCCTAGATAAATTCTTCCAGTATTGTCTCTTCAAACTTTCACATTCTCAGTTTCTTTCGCATTGAACCATGTACACACTCAGCATTATACAAAACTGACGTCAAGATTTTTATATTTTTTCAAAACAGCTTATAGATAACAGCTGCCGAACTCCTGACCTTTTTCCGGCGTGACTCAGCACTGGCAAACTATGTAAAAACCGCAAGACATATACAAATAACTTAAAGAGATGAAGGATAGAGACATGTTGTAGGTTGAATTTATAAAGATCATTGATTCGCCATGGTCCGAAAATTAATAAAACTCAGGATCTTGCTTTTATTACATCATACATGTAATCTGCTCTGTTAATTATATGAGAATCGAATCAATAACTCAAAAAACCCTTTGAGCCAACTATGTTCGAGCAAGATCAATATGAATAATTTTTCGTTTTTTTCTTTTTTTCGTGCTTTAAATAGTTCTCGAAGAACAAAGCACTTTCACGAAAATTGTCGAGTTTCCTTCCAGAATGTTTGCTAAACGCTAGCGAGATGCGGGGGACGGTGCGGGGTTGATTTCCCTGAGTCATGCTCTCCGAGGGGGGAAATTACTTTTAAACGGAAAATTACTTTTTGCATGGCGCCATAGATGAATAAAAATGAGCTCTCGTCAATATTTGTTCATGAACCGCCCAAGGAGCATACAGCCAACCCTGATAGCTGCTGCAATTATTTTTTTTCACTGTGGATCCGTGGAAAAAGACAAAAACCTTTTACATTATTTGATTATCGCAAACCGTGAAAAATCCCGCCCAAGTATTGATTTTTCTCAGATATGGATTATGAACACTAATTCTAGTCGTTCTAGACCATTCTAAGGCTTGGTTTATTACTCGCTTTAAAAAGACCTAGACAACCATACAGACAGTTCTCAGGTAATGTCTGACCCGAATGCAAATTTATGTGTTTGACGTTTCATTCCGTTCCGTTTCAGAATTGCCCGAGGATTTTATATGCTTGCATTTATATAGTTAAAAAGGGGAAAATTTTAAGGGACTTGCTTCAGCTCCAGAAAAAAAAGACAAACACAAGGTAAGCCTTAGCATTTCTGCGTATTTATCGAACATTTTTATCAGTGCTTTATCTTAAAAAGAGTGAAGTTCGCGTGCACAACCTGGACTCAATTAACTACCCGTGTTTGCACTGTATCAATGATATGAAAAGAATAAATTGCTACGTTTAGAAAGCATGAAATCCAGTGGCGGATCTAGGGGAGGGGTGCGTTCCCCGCCCCCCCGCCTATTTTGGGTAAAAAACAAAAATCGCAGAAGGAAGAAAAGCCGGCAGGGCAAGCAAGAAAAAACGGGGTGTACCCTTAGCTCAAGGTCTGGATCTGCCACTGAAATCTATTATGTATTTTTAATTGCGTTCAAAAGTAGCGCTGCCTACATATAGAGGATATTACATGCCCGTGCGTGGATACAAATTTTATCTTCGAGTGTTCAACTCGATATCTCACGAGTGAGTGCAGCGAACGAGTGAGATATTGAGTTGAACACGAGAAGATAAAATTCGTATCCACAAGCAGGCATGTAATATTCTGTTTATTATATAAACATACTAATGACGACGTTTTTGACGATTTTCCGAAGATTTCCGACCACTTTCCGAAGATTTTCCAAAATTTTTCCCAACGCCAGACGAACGCTTCCGAACATTTTCCGAACATTTTCCTAAGATAACCGAAGATTGCCGAAGACGACCGAAGTAGATCCGAAGATGTTTCGATCATACATCAACAAATTTAAGTGTAGTTAAAAGAACAAAAGAAAAACGCTATCAGAAAGGAATGATATCTTCAAACAAGTATCTTCACTGCATGCACTGAAGATATGATTTTCTAAGTAAAAGGAAAAATCCTGGTATTTCACTGGTGTTTATATAATAAAAGGGTTTCATACAATACTTGCTCTCTACCACCTCCCTTATCTACACCCTGCTGATAATGAGTGAGTTTTCCATACAGCATATCGGGAGTGATATGAAGAAAGTCTTACGTTCGTGCCGAAGAAACCTTGTAATCTATATAACTGACAATTAACATATTGTGAAGGTGAATTAATCAACATGACACGAGCGTGGGACAAAGAAAAATTCTGAGTCCCCGACAGGAATCGAACCCATGACCTCCCGAACACTGGGCGGGTGCTCTATCCACTGAGCTACGAGAACTCATGGAGAGCTACGGGTCCGCAAATGATCCCCAAATTGAACCGGAAATGATCCCCGTATTGGACGCAAATGATCCCGACTAAAACATAAGGAATGGCATGGATTTATATCAGAGGTAGGTTAGAACATGTACAAAAATTATGAACTAAAAAACATGTTTTATCATTTTATAAAAAAAATATTCTACAGTTGCTGTCTTGTTCTTCGAACGGTACAGATCGTTTTCACTGTCACGCAATAAATGTCACGTCGTAAATGTTTCCCAGAAATTTACAGTGCCCAGTAAGAAAGGAGAAATCTAAATAACATCTAGTGAGGGTCAACTTCATGTATCAGCACAAAGTATACTATCCGACCAATACACCCCTAAACAGCACTATACACCCTCATACAGTACTATACACCGCTATACAGTACTATACACCCCCTATATAGCACTATACAACCCTACACAGCACTATACACCCCTATACAGCACAACACACCCCTATACAGCAATATACACCCCTATAAAGCACTATACACCCCTATACAGCACTATACACCCCTAAACAGCACTATACAGCACTATACACCCCTATACAGCATTATACATC